GATAAAATGTTGTCTTATAACTCACAATCCTATTACATATACCTAAATTATTAGTATAGGAGGTAGACGTTTCACTCACTCACCCTACATAATTATCACTCTTACCTATATATAAACATTCTCCTCTACGAAAATAATTACCCGTTATTACCATCAATGGTTAGAATATTCTCCCATATTTCAATTTCCATTTCTCTACAACACTCTATACTTCCTCGTCATTTATGTTAAGGTATTGGTATTTACCCGATTTTATTCTTTCACTATCAGTTGACAAGGTCGAACTTATTTTATCTAATTATTTTTTTAAATAGTTTTCATGAATAAAACAAAAAATAAAAAAAAATCCTATGAATTTAAAAATCATTCGTTGTGTGATAAAAAAAAAAAGTTTTTTCTTAAGTAAAAACAAAAAGGAATTTGAATTTTAACCATATATGTTTGGTGTTTGTGAGAACCACGTGAAAAAACTCTATACTTCCTCCTCATTTATGTTAATGAAATAAAAATATATAAGCCTTGAGAAAACAAAAATAGCATATATGTGGTCAATATTATACTTGACATATTCATTTTTTAATATATATATATATATATATATATATATATATATATATATATATATATAATTGTTCTTTGTCAAATTATTGGAAAAAATATTGAGAGATACTTATTATGTAGTATTATTTGATGATAAAAACTCAAAATATTCTCGCATAATGATTGCCTATATTCTAAGTATTTTCTCAAATTATTTATACTTTTTTAGTATGTCATTAATTTGTGAACTGTATTTTATTTTATTTTTTTCGTATACTTCCTCGAATGCCACCAACACCGAGTAACAATAATTTTTATAACTTCAATATCAACATGCCACTATATATACCATCAATACATTCAAAGTTTCAGTAACAACAGTTTACTTTATCCTATCTACATAACATTTGTTGATGATAGGAAAAAGAGGGAGGGATGACGAGGACGTATGTTGTCACGAATAGACCTGTGAGCTGTGACCCGCTGATTCAGGGACAGTGAACCCAAATCTGTTTTGGCCCAATCTCTAATGTGTGACTCTGTGCTTATGCGATATAGGCATATATCATCACTGTCATGCATTGAGACAATAATTCTTGATATTGTTATGATCAATCTGTGGCCGATATATCTAAATGTTTTTCATTGGTTGGGTGACTCGGGTTTACCCCCAGAAGGTTATTATTATCATTGGTTGGGTGACTCGGGTTTTCAAAATTTTCTGACAAGTTTAAATAAATTTCCCTAATTTTAAATCACTTTTAAATGTCAAAAAATTATATTCCTTACCAGCTCCATACCTCTATATTACATATATGAACCAAGGTTAGTTTAAAGTTTAGGCTACACCATACCACTAAACATTACACATCAAACGTTTACAACAGCTCTTGATTGTGGTTTTTTGCTTTTGTGACTTTGGTGCATTGTAGTGAAATAAAATATTCAATCTTACATTAAATTTAATAATTGTTAATTACAGATGTCTTGATAGTTCAGTAGGTTAGTATTTTTGGTATACTTTGGAATGTTAGACTTCGACTTTCTATATTTACTAATATATCTTCTAAATATATCTTCTAACCATTCTTGCAGTGAAATCATCATCCTATTCATATAAAGTTACTCACTCTTATAAATAAGACTGGGTACATAAATTCAAATTGAAAACACCCCGTTTTAGAATTATAACAAAACATTATTGGAAAATTCTAATCTTATTTAGTTGCCCTCATTGTGAAAAGATATTTGGTTTTCAAAATATGCGTTTATGAAAATTACATTTATTCCTCCTATTAAAACTAGACTAATTTCATAAAACCGCCATTACTTTCGACTTTTAATTATAAACCCTCAACCTATTTCAAAAAACCCCCTACACTTTAAAAAGTGATCACATTGTCTCAAACCCGTGACCAACCTGTTAAATTGGTTGTGAAATGTCGAATTTGCCCTTACTATTTAATGTTAAATTAAAACTTAGGGTTAATTACAACGACACCCCTTGAGATTTGATGTATTGACAGCCATATACAACTTAGCTGTTTTTTGGACGATGACACCCCTTTAGGTTTGATAAAGTTAGCAAAGACACCCCCAAGGTCCAAACATGTACTTAGAAGATCTGAAAAGACGAGAGTGCCCTTAATATTTAATTTATTTTAACCATAAAATATTAAACATTTTCAAAAGACTAAAACACCCTTATATAATATCTGTCGCACAACCCCAACCACCCCACCCTCCATTACCTCAGTTTCTTTACGCCCCCACCACCTACTGTCTCTTCATCCTCCACACCACCACTGCAAAGCTCCACAACAGCCACCATTTCTCTCTATTGTCCACCACCATGGCCGCAAATCCCATATTCTCTCTCTTTCTTTATACAAATCACAAACCCTAATTTTCACTATATATATACACACACATACATATATTATGTATTTTAGGGATCCGACCACTGTTGCCACCATTTCTCTGAGCTTCCTTGAATTGATCAACGTCCTTCTCTAACTTATGACACTTTAGGGGCATCTTCTTCACCAAAATAAGTCGATTTCGAACCCTAAGGTTTGTGGAATTTTGTGAATCAGTTCGGACTGATTTGATTTTTATCGGACGGTGGAACTTGGGGTTTTTGCTATGGCGATCCACCCCTCCTATTCTTCTTATTCAACGACCCTAAAGACCCACCCTTTTTCTTATTCGATGACGGCAACAAGCCCGAAGACCCACCACCGGTAATCAAACTACAAATGAAGAAGGCCACTTCTATGATAGTGGTGCTAATCGGCGATTCGTTGCTGATTTCGGCCAGTAAATTACTCACCATAGCGGTTCTGCTGGAGAAGGAATATGGGTCTGTGTGTCGGAGAACGGAATCTCAAACAAGCCTTGACCATTGCCGGAGCTAGAGTCCACCTTCCATGGCTGTTTCAACATTCTCTCTCTCTGCGACGGTGCTCCCCAATACGCGAATCTTCGATCTACGGCGAATATAGGACGTCTCACCCACGACGACGAAACTGACGATTAGGGTTTCGAGGCAAGGAGCACCGGACGGGTATTGATGAATGGCTCTTAGGGTTTGATTGGAACCAATACGCGACATCAATCTACGGCGATGGCGGGTGATGGTGGTAGTGCTGGCGATGGTAGGTGGTAGTGGTGGCGATGCCGCTGCTCCTCTTTTCCTCTCTGTTATTCCATATATATATATATATGTATGGGTAATAGTGTATATATATAAGGGCAAATTTGACTTTTTATGAGTTCTGATATTTTACAATAAAAATAAATTAAATATTGAAAGGCAATATCGTCTTTTCAATGTTTTAAGAGCTCGTTTGGATTACAATTATTACAGGGGGTGTCTTTATTTAAAAAATAAAGAAGTTGTATATGACTGTCAATACATCAATAAAAATTATTTTTTTAATAACAATTTTACCCTTTTCATTATCTAATCCAAATGAAGAAGGACGTCATTTTTTCACCAAACATTTTCCTTCCTCATTTTGATTGCAGGCACAGCTTATGTAAATATATCTATCTCTCTATATATATCATGTATGGTGGAAATTAGATCTTACTATAGATATCAAACTAACAGATCTGACCCTAAAAATAACGACGACAACGTGTTCAACTTTGCATACTAACGCGATGATTCACTGCCTTCAAAGGAGTTGGACTCCAAGTTCGCATAATTGGAGTCGCCGGTAAATGACGACATGAATGAATTGGCATAATCTTGGTCTCCTTTCTCTGGACGGATTCATTTTTGACCAACTGGGCAGTGATGGTTGTGAAGGAGGCAAGAGCTGAATCGAGTGGGACAATAAACCCAAGAAATCGAACCATGTTTATCCTCCACCGTGTGATGATTGATCGTCGCTTGAACGAACGGCTCAGATTCTCGGGCTTTGTGTTGTTGTTGAAGATGAGGAGGAGAAACATGACCTCTTTGGAAACGGGTCATGGCCCCTACACGGTGACCTTGGTTGCCATGCTCGCACCAACTATATTCAAAAACTCAACCCTAATTTATCACCAATCGCAACACCAAACCCAAATCAATCAACATAGTCACTCCTTCTCTCAACATCCTCAAACCATCCCCCATCCCCACCATCAGATTCCTATGTAGCTCCTTTACTTTATTAGGGATATTTTTGATGTCGTTACAGATCCATCACTTGGTCTGGTGATGGGTCGGTTTGAGAGAGAGAGAGATGGGTGAGAATTTTTGAGAGAGGGGTGATAGAAGAAAATAAGGGTATTTTTGTAATTTTAGATAATATAATTTTTAAATTTACATATAACATTAAATAGTAATGTCAATTTTGTCATTTCATAATTTGGATAAGAATATTGGGGGTAATGTCATAGCTTTTTAAAGTGTAAGAAATTTTTTAAAATAGTTTGAAAGTTTATGATCAAAATATAAAAAATAGTAGAGATTTTTATAGAATTAGTCCTATCATAACAAAGTATATATATTTTTTATTTTTTATTTTTTATTTTAAGATTGAATAAGTCTAGAAATATATATATTTTAATGTCTTAAATTTATTTAAATGTTATATTAAGTTGTCTAATTGTGATACGAAAGTCACCACTGTGAATCAAAAAACAATCCCTCAATACTTAAATGTGTTGTCCCAATTCAAATTCTGTATTAAGCTAAAATAGCCCATTTTGAAGGATGCAAGACTTAAGTATGAGTATTATAGAGTTTTTACACAATATTTTCTTTGTATATTTGTTGGGGCATAGTTTTTTTTTTTTTTTTCGTTTTTCTCTTCCTAGGGCCTTTAAAAAAAGTAAAGTTAGTGGAGTAGTTTGTTTGTTTGTTTTTTTTTTTTTTAATTACTCTGTACGATAATAAATAATTAAATTATGAAAATAAAGACTTAAAATGTAAGAATAAAATATATTACAATAGTAAACCCCCTCTTTTGTTAGAAAATTCACGAAAAAGAAAAAAACAAGGGCGCCTCCCTGCAGAAGAAGATAACCTATAAAATGGGGAAGCAAAGGGGCGCACAATACAGGAAAGAGAATGATGCGGACAACGAAGAGAAAGGAGAGAGTAGATTCTAAACACTGACAGCGAGCGAAAATGGCGGACTAATTGTCCGATCGTTCCTGTTATGCATACATACAATATATATGTATAATATAATATATACACAACACGAATTTCTGTATCTAATAGGGTTTTGCGGATCCAGTTGTTCTTCATCTCCCCGATACGATTACACGGTAATCCGATTTCTCTGTCTACTTTTTTCTATATTCAACCAATACTTTACCCCGATTCGCTTGTTTTCGCTTTCTAGGGTTTTAGTCTCAAGATCTTGCCATGTTTGTTTTCTTGAATGATAGATTCGAATTGTTATATTGAGTTTAATCATCTACACTTCTGCAATAACAAGAGTTCAAGAAGTTTGAAGTTCGATCGCTTCTTTATCTGTATTAGGAATGGTGGACTTTTCCATTTTACGTAAAAATGAATTCCAATTCCAAAACTTGTCGATGTTTTTGAAAAATTAAGATATTTTAATCTAATTTCATCAGTTAGTCCGTTCCTCTATCTTTATTTATTTCATTTTCCACTCTAATACAATGGAATTCAAAATCTTGAATTCTAGTTTCTTTGATCGAGAAAGTAAGAAACTGATAATGGATGGTTTATTGGAAATAAAAAAATTTAATCAGTGTTTCTATGGTTTTTGGCCTTATTTTGTTGGTTTATATATCTCTTTTCTGGTAAGTCTATGTATTTGACACAATATGGACATACATGTTTGTACTTCTTTAAAGTTTAGTTGTATGTGATCATTCCAGAATGCATCAGTTTTAGAGGACTACATAGGGGTTTTGGGGAATGATTGTTAGTTGATGGAGTAACTTTTGAGGCAAGGAAGGATCAATGGATTCGGCAAAGAGTTGGTTTCAGAAGTTTCAGCCGCGAGAAAGGTTTAGGTCTTCTTCTAAGAAGAAGGATTCAACTGATGGTGGCGAAGAGGAGTCAAAAACACTATCGGCGGAAGAAGCCTCAGCTATCACAAAGCAGAAAGTTGCAGCAGCCAAGCAGTATATAGAGAACCATTACAAGGAGCAGATGAAAAACCTTCATGAGAGGAAGGAGCGGTATGCCATATGCCTTTAAAAGTTAATGAATGATTTTTTAGGTTATACATGTCCAACTTTCTTTTATTTTCCTCTCTAGGCTGTTTATAGTTATTACACATGTATATTTTCAGTAAGGCCTTGCTTCCACCACCTAATAATTAAAGTAGACACTACTATTTTGCTAATAGGGTTTTAAGATGCCTACATCCTAATCAACATCTGTTATAAACATTATTATTTATTATATCTTGGCCAAAGCTTATGTTTGCGAAAAGGAAATGAAAATATAAAAAAAGGACCTACCAAAAAAGAGAAAGGAAAAACAGAGCACAAGTAGTCGTACGTTGGAATAAGTGTTACAATAACCTTCTAGCTCTTTCTTCTTTCTTTTTAACCAATCACAAAACGAAGACATCCATCCTTTTCAGGTCTTTGCATAACTAATTATCAATGAACATTGTAAAGGAGTGTATATATAAATTTGGAATGTACTGAGTGCTATAGTAACAATTTATAGGATGCACTTAGATTTATTTGAACATTGTAAAGAAGCATAGTTATAAATTTGGAATGGACTTCTTAGATTCTTATATACTTTGCAACGGGTCAATCTTTTTGTAATTCTTGTTATTCTACCTTTATATTATAGGTAAAATGTTAACGAATTGACTGCCCCTCCTAACGGTTAGACCTTGAACTGGTTGATAGATTGATAGGCAGAGCATTGTTAAGGGGATTATATGCGTCAAAGACATAAGCATTGGCACGGCATAGGATGCATGGCGCTAACGACAGTCAACTTTCTAATAATTAATAATATTGGAAACACAGATTTTTTTTCCTTAGTTAAAGACACATATTTTTTGTCCATAGTATTATTAACTAAAATGTTTACTATGTTTTTTTTTTTAATTTAAAAAAACTTATATATGATTTAACGACTAAACATGATATATTTGTTACATTTTCAAGAATGATGAATGCTTTGCAACACAGGAAAGCTCCTAATCATCTTTTATTTGTTATGAATAAGTTATTGTTATTGATTTTTATTTATTTAATATATACATTAGGTATTCATATGTATTTTTTATTTTAATAATTAATTTATTTTCTTACTTAAAACTCACATACCCAATTTGCCACTTTGTAGACTTGAACCCTCGACCTTCTACTTTAGAAGGTAAGGTAGTATGGCTAGGCTACAACCCTTGATGGTAGTAATAAATAATTTTAATCAATGGAGATTATCAAGATTACAATGTTAATTAGTGTGAAGGTTGGCTGTATCGTGTGTTGTTCAAGGCAATATGGACTAGAAGATGGTCCACAGTGCATGGGCAATGTATGTGATAGTAAGTCACTGAGAGAGCTGGACAATAATAATTCATGGAAAAATAGCAATATGGTAATCCACCCTTAGCCTGCATTTTGTTAGGTTACTAATCAAATCAAGGGTTGTGATATCTGCATTTTGTTAGGGTACTCATCAATTTTTTTCGTAGTGCTACTTGTTAACTGTTCTTGTGTCACTGTTAAGATTTTGTAGTTAGGTATGTAGTTCTTAGGTTGCAGTATGGTATCTAATTTTACCCCCTTTTCTTGAGCAGACGAAATTTACTGGAGAAGAAGTTAGCTGATGCTGATGTCTCTGAGGAAGATCAAAGCAACCTATTAAAATTCTTGGAGAAGAAGGAAACCGAATACATGCGTCTTCAGAGGCATAAATTTGGCGCTGATGATTTTGAGTTGCTAACAATGATTGGGAAGGGCGCATTTGGGGAGGTAAACATTTTCAGTGAAATATGTTCTAATTAATTTGCCAAGTGTGTTAGTTCTCCTATGTTGCAAGTCGTGTTTTCACAGTTGTAGATCTATCTTCGCAGTAGGTGTTGTAATTAAGTGCTGATCCAATCTATCCTTTATCTGTTCATTTGCCCTGTTTGAATAGCTGTTAAAATTAATTATTGAAATTGGTGCTGAAAATAATTGTGGCTAATTAGTTGTTCCGGTCTTCACTAGGATTATATATTGTTGTAGCTATTATTATTATTGGGCTTGTATGACCTCAAGTTGAAATTGTAGACTGAATGACCTTGAACAGTTCTAGTCATGAACTGGAAGATAATTTACTAATCATGTATTGCAAGTTAGATTTGCATGTAGAATATATATTACATATCTTTCTGAGATAAAAAAAATGTAGAATGCCCAGATCTGTTTATTTTTTTAATTTTTGACCATATATGCATTTTCTCCGCTTCTGTTTGCTTAGGTCCTTGTGACATGCTGGCATTGCTAGTTTGCAAAAGAGGATTGATTTGTATGATAAAACAAAATTGTTTTTTAATTAGATGCAATGCCCAGAGCCGTCTCAATAAAAGTTGAGGGCTAAGGCAAATTTTTTAAAAGAGGTCTCTTTGATTGTTAATATGTCAATATAAATAACATTAATCAACCTTATGCTTTTTGTTCAACAATCCATTCTTTCTTCTTTTTGAGATGATGCAAAAAGACAAAAGTAAATTGACCTTGATAAAAAATATTATACTATTTAGATTATATATAAAAAACTGTAATTATCTTATAGTATAAAATTTGACTTTTATTTATAAAATATATATACATATATATTTTGAAAAATGACCTGTCATGACTTTTGATATACATTTTCAATTCTAAATTATCCATTTTCACAATCTAAAAAGAAAAAAAAACAGAGAAAAATTCATATGGTCAAGTTTATTCCTTGGGATTTCCTATATGGAGCAGAACTTAAATAGTAGAACACATTAAGCATGTCAATTTTTTATTATTTTAATTTATTTAGTTAATGAGAGGCTTATGTCAGGCCATATAAACAGAGGAGCAAAGAGTTACTTTTATCGAATTCATTTGTAAATCGAGTGATTGTGGAAAGGAAAATAATGGATTTTCTTTCTTATATGTAGAAAGAGGATAAATTTAGTAATACAAATTTTAATTTTTTAGTAAAGATCCCATTTTATATAATAGATAATTAAATTTGAGAAGAAATCTTAAAATATAAAGGTTTTATCTTCAAATTACTCAAAAGTCAATCTACCATAGAAAAACAGAAATCGAGATGTTTAAAAATACAAGACCTTTAGGGAAAAAGGGTTACTTTAAATTCAATTTACTTATACAGGAAAGTAATTTTTTTTTTTTTTAATTTTTTTTTTTAAAGAAATTACTAGAGAATTTTTTGCCCCTACTATGTAATGTGACAGTTTACACATGGTATTTTTTGGTTCATTGGTGCAAGCAATATTGAAGAACCCTGACTTCCTTTTGTCCCAGATGATTTCTTTTATGGTAAAAGAGGAGAGGAGTTGAATCTCTGTAGGAGAGTCTTCTATTCAATTCCTCATATAAAGTAGCTATTTATATTTTTCCTCAACCAAGGGACAAGTTAGTGTAGCAACCTATAACTCAAGGTTTTTTTTCCTACCTTTATTATTATTATTATTATTATTTGTTTCTCTTATAAAATTTTTGTTGTGCAATAACAAGAATTTTAGATGGATTCTTGCCTAATTTGGGTGGGCTTTTAGAGTTGCAACTTGCAATGGTTCAAGGAGGGTCTTCTCATCTTTAATTCCAATTTCCACCCAATTGCCATCCTTATGTATCTGAACCATACAGTGCATTCATATGTGACAGAAGGATTCCTATATTTTTATTCATATGTGATAGATTCCTTAGCTGCAAACTATATATTTGATCACAGGTATATAAGAAGTTAGCAGATATGTTAATGTTGGTTCCAGTGTCTAGGACTTCAAGATGTATTGACGCTGTTGTTAACATTCAGATTCTAGTTCTCATTCCAGAGTTTTGCTAGATGGGAAGGTTGTAATAAAATGAGTAAAATCATTTCATGTTTTTGTGGTGCAGGTCAGAGTCTGTAGGGAGAAGACAACAGGTCATGTATATGCAATGAAAAAGCTTAAGAAATCAGAGATGCTTCGTAGAGGCCAGGTATTGACTAATTTGGCCTGTTTGATGATATTGTCATTTGAGTTTCATTTACTATACTTATTGGTAATTAGCTTACCAACCCTTTTAGGTGGAGCATGTGAAAGCTGAAAGGAATTTGCTTGCGGAGGTGGACAGCAATTGCATTGTCAAACTGTATTGTTCTTTCCAAGATGAAGAGTTTCTATATCTTATCATGGAATATCTACCCGGTGGAGATATGATGACTCTATTTATGAGAAAGGATACCTTGACAGAAGATGAGGCCAGATTTTATGTTGCAGAAACAGTTTTGGCTATTGAATCTATCCATAAGCATAATTACGTTCATAGGTTTGCATATGTCTATGCTTGATTCATGAATTTATTTGACATCATTGAGAGGTGCATTCTTGTACTACTTCAGATACTCTGACCCTTTCAATTTTATTCTTTTTCCCTTGCTGCAGAGACATTAAGCCTGACAACTTGCTACTTGATAGATATGGTCACCTGAGACTTTCAGATTTTGGACTATGTAAACCTTTAGACTGCAGTACTCTTGAAGAGAAGGACTTTTCGCAGGGGGATAGCTTCAATGGAACTTCAAAAAGTAATGAGCGCCCAGCACCTCCGAAACGTACACAACAAGAGCAATTACAACATTGGCAGAAGAATAGGAGGATGCTTGTAAGTTTCCTATTATTAGGTAACTGCATTTTTCTTTTTGTTGTTCAGTGATTGTATATTTCTTTAGATACATGTGCAGTTTGTGTTAGGTGTGTTTTCTTTTGTTTGGTAATTTTAAGGAAATTGTTTGAAATTTGCATTACTTGATGTACTGAATAAAGAATGAACCCTGCATGACTCCTGTCATAATAATTCAGAATGGATAACCTCTACTTTCACTCATGCACTTTGACTTACAAGCTTTTGACAAAATTTGATGGTAACTTCTTGGTGATTTTATCTTGTCTTTATGCTGTAACTTCTGATTTTGGGAAATTGCAGGCTTATTCAGCTGTTAGTACACACCTGATTAGATCGAATATCGTTGGTATATTTTAACCTTTTGATATTGGGACATTGCAGGCTTATTCTACAGTTGGTACACCTGACTATATTGCTCCAGAAGTTTTGTTGAAGAAAGGTTACGGGATGGAATGTGATTGGTTAGTAGTTTCTGTGTGTTCATTTAGATGTTCTTTGGAAAAAAAAAAATCATATCATTGTGTTTCACATGGCAACAAATTCTTGCTCTTTCTCTCTTTAAATTGAATCTATTTGGATTTGTATTTTCTGTTAATTTAGGTTTAGCGAAAGGGTAAAGTGTAAAACCTTTTGTAAACTCTTAAGACCTTTTGCAGAAAACCTTCTGAAAGTATATTCTTTTTCTTTTTTCTTTTTTTTTTTTTTTTTTCATAATTTATATTCTTGATAGATACCCCTTGAATTATTAAAAAATGTTGCAAACAGTCGCTCCATCAGATTGCCGTTTAAAAGATTCTAGGATCGCATATGACTAAAGTTTATGCTGTTACGACTGTTGGTACTTTTTTGGGCAGAAGTGCTAAAAATCCTCTTTTAACTAAAACTCTTTTTGTAGAAACCCCCCCCCCCCCCCCCCCCCCCCCCCCCCCCCAAATTATTTTTTTTGGACATAAAACCACCCTGAATCATTTAAAAATGTTGCAATTATCCCTGATATCTGATCGCCTTTCAGAAAATAACATTATTTAGTCTTGTGTGACGAATGGGATTAATCTTTTTGCTTTTATGACCATCATGCCCTTGTCCTATTATTTATGATCCAACAGTAGATACCAACACATCATCCATTTTTCATACCAGAAGTAAAAAAAAATTGAACTTACCTGTATAAAGGAAAATTTAATTTTAACCCTAATTTTTTTTTTTTACAAAGTGTATCCACCTTTTTAACTCCTAAATTTTGTTTAACAAATGGATAGTTGTTTGCAATTTAAAATTTTTATTTATTTATTTTTATTTAAACAAAAGAATGGACATGTTGGTAATTTCTAATCGCTATTAAGTTTATTTTACTCCAATTTTAACCCTAAAGTTTATTTAACAAATGAATGTTTTTGACAATTTCTGATCGCTATTAAGTTTATTTGACTCCAATTATAAGTTATAACCCTAAAGTTTATTTAACAAATGAATGTTTTTGACATTTTAAAATTTATTTATTTATTTTTAAATAAATGAATGAACAAATGTTTTATCTATACAAATGGCAACCTAGCGCAATGGTCTGATTGCATAGGTGTTATGTGCAGCTCCATGGTTATTTGCAAATGTTGATAGTCGAGGGAGTTTTCTGTGATTTACCCTTTTTTTAAAACAAATTGACTACACAAATTAGTGAGTTTCATTGCTAGTAGTGGCAGCTTAAACGGTTTTTTTTTTTTTTTTTTCCCCAGTTATGAAAACACGATTCAATATTATTGCAATCTTTTGTTGCATTTGCGCTATTTATTGGAGTGATTTCCATCTTGAGGACAGATTTATGTCTTCGATTTATGGAATGTGAAATGGAATTGATTCATTTTCATGGTGTCCAAACATGTCTAGTTCTTTTATTCTTGGCATGCGTTCATTGAGACAAAATCGTGGTTATTGTTCCTCAGGTGGTCACTTGGTGCTATTATGTATGAAATGCTTGTGGGCTATCCGCCTTTTTATTCTGATGATCCTATGTCAACCTGTAGGAAGGTAAAGTTATAACGCTGCTAATTCAATTACTTGTTTTGTATCTACATTTTATATGTTAAAGCACAGGGACCACATTCATATATACTACGTATATTTTTGCCTCTCCTTAATTGTTGTACCCATCAGTTTTTTTTTTCGTTACAGTTCAGTTCAATTGTTCGAGTTTCATCTAGTTTAGGAAATTTCAATGAAGCTTTCTACATATTTATTTGTTTTATTTCCCGCTTATGGGATTCACTGCTTTAATTGAATGTTATATTTAAATTATTTTGATTTATTGATCTCATTAAGGCATAATTTTGAATAGAATGCAAGGATTAGAATATAGAAGGTAGCTGTTGAAATAAACCTTCAATTTGTCCTTCATCCAGCATTCCTGCCATTCATGGGTTTTTGGGTTATGACTACTTTTCCTCTGTTAATTCTTTTACTTGTAACCAAGCTTTGGGGTCTTTGGCATTTTTTGCGTTAAATTTTTCATGAGGACCATTGACAAAATGCATTAGTTGGATTCATTTTTCAGCTAGGTTTGAGCTGAAGTTAAGTTTGAAGATTATTCCAAAGTGATCCCTGATTCTCAAGGGTCTGATTGTTTAGTTTAATTGAAATGTTAGTCTATGTTGGAGTTTGGTTGTACATCCTATCCTGTTCAACTATTTTTATCTTGGAGTTCTTTATTATTCAGCATATGTTTATATATTGTAATGTATGTTCCGTAAAATCATGATTTTCCATTATCTTTTCTATTTTCTTTTTCAATTTTTGGGTTGGGTTTTGTCAGTGTTGATAAAGATGCTGTAGATTGTGGGCTTTGGGTTTGGATGGCGTGATAGTAAAATGGGCTGTGAACTGAATGAGCCTGATACCATTCCAATATTAACAAGCCTGAATCAAGTTGGAGAAGACTGTCTTTAGTTGCCTTAAAATTACCCGCTAGATGATCCATTTATCGCGTTGATTATTTGTGATTAGGTTTATCTTAATTACAAGAAATATTTTGTGTTGTAATGAGTTCACTGATTATATTGACAGTTTGTGAACTTCAATAATGGCTCAATTCTCATTATTCACCTCTGGGTTAAAAGAAAATTAATCTGGAGCATGTGGTCCACCAGATCAGCATTCTTTAATAATTTGCTTTCCAGGTAAAGTTAAGTTAGATTTGTTGATAATGTTCCCTTCCAAACTCTCTTTTTAACAAGTACAATCATGCCAATCCTATGATGCATTAACATACTGGTCTTTTGTATCTGCTAATTCTATGCTTACCTTGATAAATAAGAATCTTTCATTCAATCAACTGGGTGTGTGAATCATTACTCTTTGATAAAAGTCTAGTTGTTTTACTAAATTTTATAATCACACATACAGTTCAGAATAATGCTTTTATTTTCACTGGTGCAGATAGTAAACTGGAGAACGCATTTAAAGTTTCCTGAAGAAGCAACGTTATCTCCAGAAGCAAAAGATCTTATTAGTAAATTACTGTGTAATGTCAACGAGAGGCTGGGTTCAAGAGGTGCAGATGAAATAAAGGTGTTGTATGGTGTGTCCTATTCTAAGTTTTTAAATTCATTCCAAGACTGAATTGCAAATAAAGGGAATTACCTGGTTGTTCTTTCATTTTAGGCTCATCCCTGGTTTAAAGGTATTGATTGGGATAAAATTTATCAAATGGATGCTGCATTCATTCCTGAGGTCAATGATGAGTTGGATACACAAAACTTTGAAAAGTTTGAGGAGGTATTGATGTCCCTCGTTTTTCTTGTTGATTTCTTGGAGATATTTGTGGTGCGGGTTCCTTTTTTCTCACTGTATCTGTTCTCTTTTCTGCCTTTTTTGTGGTCCGCAGTCTGACAACCAAGCTCAAACTTCATCAAAAGCAGGCCCATGGAGGAAGGTAAGCTCATTTGCTACCACTGTGAATCATTGGAAATCTCAAATGTTTCTTTGATCTTCACAAATTTGTTCATGCTGTATTAATATTTTTGTTGCAGTTTTTGCAAAAGTTGGATTCAATATACTTGTCATTAGTCATTGCCTGCTGGCTTGATTATTTTAATTTGCCAATTCGGCTCTTCTTTTGTAATTGACAGAAAGAACTTCTGTTGGGCAATTGAAACGGCTGCTAAAAGTATGTGGCATGGCCATATTAAAAAAAAATGATTATGATGTGACTTGAAATTCGTTGTTTCTCTTTCTTTTTATCCTTTTCCCTTCTCTTACATTTGTCTTCCTTGATCCCGCAGATGATCTCATCCAAGGACATTAACTTTGTAGGATATACATATAAGAATTTTGAAATTGTTAATGATTATCAAGCTTCTGGAATGGGTATATCTCTCTCTCTCTCTCTCTCTCTCTCTCTTTCTCTCTTTCTCTGTTTGTGTAACATGCACACAAATTGACATATTATAATATGTCTATACCTACACCTTGGAAAACTTTATACAGTTGAGGTCTGTGGTCTGTGGTCACTGGGCTTGTATATGACTGCATGTTGCAATAATGGGGACTTAGTATGTGCACATGGTCACAGTGGAAAACACTTAGTAGATTTAATATAAAATTGCCACTATTTTTCATTAACTACACAAATAGTAGCCTGAAAGAAGAAATCGAACCCGCACAGGTGGCCTAGTGATTAAGTGGTCTCAAGGGGCGAGCCGTAAACTTTGACGTCCTGAGTTTGACTCTCACTAGGCACAAAAACACCCGGATTTTGCCACTATTTTTCATTAACTACGCAAATAGAGCCTGAAAAAAAAGTAATAGAGCCCGCACAGGTGGCCCAGTGGTTAAGTGGTCTCAAGGGGTGAGCCGTAAACTCGGGCGTCCCAAGTTCGACTCTCACTAGGCGCAAAAACACACGGGTTTAAATGATATGTTTGGTTTGCGTGTGATTGCACACATCCGAGTTTTACCTTGCAGCCATAAATCCAAAGGGCTGGTGGTTGGAAGGGTTGCCCGTTTCCAAAGAAAATGAAAAATGATGCCTTTTTTTTTTTTTGTTTTCCAATCCTATGAAATGCTTATGTAACTTTCTTGTCTTGTTAGTTGTATTACTGAAAGCCCAGATACAGTACTGGAATAGTTAGAGATGAGAAGAAGAAAAGAGAACGAGGCATGTTCACTAACAATACAATCAAACTAATCAATTAACTTTACTACGACTCAGAACATTGGATCTTCATTAGCATTAAAGTATGGGGAATTCAAATTTTGGGCAAAGTGGGGAGAGAGAGAGAGAGAGAGCTGACCCATGAAATTTAAGCATCTATGTGGAAGGGATGATTAAGCTTTGAGTTAAACCAACATCTCTTATTGAAATAAGAAATAAAATTTTCAAAACATCACGTAATAAATAATAATAATAATAATAAAAAGTAGCAGTTGAACAGATTTGCTTCCTCATAAAGAAAATCAAGTTAAATGACTGCTAAAATGGCCATGGAAAGAACGGCTTGACAAATAGAGAAAGAAGATAAGGATAGGTATTCCCCACCCACACAATTCAGCTGCCGCCAGTGAAGTCTGAATTGTAAATTTATGGTTCAGAAGAGAAGTGAGCCCTTGAGAAGAAAAATGATGGTAATATTGGGATGGGAATGGAATGCAATTTCTTTTGTTTTAATGTTGATTTACCTGAATGCACTTGAGGTTATTTAAAACTACAAGAAAACAAGTGACAGCACAGTACTGGACAAATAGGTTGTGGCAGGACAAAATTTTAAAACTAACTGAAATGGCATGTATCCTACTGAATTTTAACATGCTGGGTGATGCCGTTGATAATATTTCTGATCAAGCTTTGTTATTATGTAATACCATGCACCTCTTCTGCAACCAAGAATATAATAATATGTCCTATCTAAAAAGGAGGAGAAGACAAGACTACCCTTTACAAAAATGAAAAATGCAAATGCATTAAACTCTCTTGACACTTTTGGGGAAAAATGATTTGGCTGAAATTTATAAGAACTTAAAATGATTCCACTACTTTGGTGACAAATGCATTCGGCAAGCTTCTAATGTATGTCAACACCTGTTGGTATTATTTTTTACAATCTTAGTTGTTGGAAAGACTATGGAATAAGTGTGTGTGTATATATATATATATATATATATATATATTTATCTCACTGTCTGTTAATTATATAATGTTTGATAATCGGTTATATCATTCTTTTTTTTTTTTTTTTGCATTTTTTTCTATCTACTGGGTTAATCTATTCAAATGAAAAAAAAGTTAAAATTTTCAAGCCAATTGTTTTATTAATTTATTAATTTGCAACCTGATATTTTCTGCTTGTTGAAAACATTGATAATCGATCCCTGGGGAGCCATATCATATATATTCATTGGTCTAAAGTTTTTGCTTTTATGGTTGGCTTTTGAGTTTGTTGCTTATTATTTATCTCTCTTGGGTGACTGGTTTCCATTTTATTCTTTGCAGCTGAATTGAAGAAGAAAAGCACCAAACCAAAGAGGCCAACCATCAAATCTCTCTTTGGTAAAGCTTAAAATCTTTTACCGTTGTGTTTTCTTGAAAACATATTCTCTTATTCTACTTATCCAAAAAAAAAGAAAACGTATTCTCTTCTTCTGCAGTAACACTTGGGGCAAATTTGTTATCATATGAAAATTTTGAGCGTGTGGTTTGATAATCATGATTCAAACTTATATGCTAGCAAATTAATATTTTTTTAGTAATTCAATGTTTGTCCACTAAATAGAAATATTGGGGAGCATTGATGGGGTGAAGAGCTTGTTATCAAAATTTTTTGAATACCCAAATTCAGTGAAGCCACCTTAGTATATAACTAAATACATGTGATTTTAAAACTTCAAAAATACTTGATGGATTCCTTTGCTTCATATCATATATATATATATTAAATAAAAATTGGTGTATGTGTAGTTTTCACATTCATTTTCTTGGTAATGTTTGCATTTACCATTTTTTTTTTTTTTTAAAACCTGAGGAAATATCATTTTCCATTTCAAGTGAGACCCCTTCTTTGTTTCTTTATTCTAACTTTATGATTCAAACTGCCTACTGCAATGCAAATCCTTTTCAGCTATTATGCAATGTTTGATTGCTGTGAAGGAGGGAAGAACTCTTTTCTGTGTCCTTGACTATATTAGGTCACCAGGTTCTTAGTAAGCCATGGAATCTAATTTCCGTCTCTCATCTCTTTTGGTTTGTTTCTTTCAGAGGAGGAATCGGATGGGTCAGATGCAGCTTCTAATCAATCCTCACAAGGGAGCTTTTCTAATATCTTGCCTTCCCAACCAGAAGTTTCTGAGAAGCAGATTGAATGAATCTGTGTAATCCTGTCAATTTCTTCGTACCATCTGATGCACAAGATGCTCTGGCCAATGGAAATTAGTGCAACTTGACTTTTGAGTGAATAGAACAGTATTGACCCCCCTTGGTGTGATTGGAGCAGTGGCTTTGGAACTCGAGTTTTGATTGAGCACTTGATGTCGAAAGGTTTCAAAGCTAGTTTATCTGCTCTGAATATATTTTCCCCCCTAAAAGAAAACTGAGAAAATACTAATTATTTTATTTGTAATTTATTTTTATCCCATTCTAATTTCAAAATTTAAAATGTTAATGTACAAAAGAACATACTCTTACTGTTGCCAGGTATAGCTGTGTTTTTCTTGCCCTCTCAGTTAATAATGATAATTACTGAAATAATGGGTTGATTTAGATGTATTAGCTGTTTTATAGTTGTTGGGCTATTCATTACTTGATCCCGAACAGTTGAGAATTTTACTGGAACTGGAAGGACTTTGTCCACTTTTTATTTTATTTTTATTGACGAGGCAGAGGAGTCTTATGGCTCATTAGGGTGGGACCAAAGTAACTGTATTAGTTCCATTTGTCATGAGAGGACGACTATGTTGCCTCACCATCATTATTAGCTGGTCAAGTATTTAATTTGTTTCTTAACAATTTTTGGACCCAGCAAAAAACAGACATTTTTAAACAATTCGAGTTTTTCAGAAAAAGATTGCTTTTTAAAAAAAAAATGGAAATAAAAGAAAATAATATTTTTTAAATGGCTGCATGTACGAACGTTTTAGCTCGTGCTGTCGTTCATGAAAGCATTGGACACACCGAGAATGTTTTAGCTCGTGGTGTTGTTCATGAAAGCATCGGGGCATCGGGTTTTGTTAAATACATTGGACTGAATACCTTGAAGTTCTTTTCACTTTGGGACCTTGAACTTCAGGCCATCAATAGCTCTGGTGTTTTCGGTTGAACAATTGGACTAGATTGGTCCGCTTTAAAATGATTGTTTTAACTATTTTTTTTTTTGGGAACTTGAACCCACTATATTCTTCATGACATCGCAAACGTAGTCCGTTGAATGATGATCGTGGTGGACAGAGGACATGTAAATCATACTAGCATCTCCTTAAAACTGTATCTCAACCATATGTGCATAAAGTATTTTTGCCTGATTCTTTCAGTAATTTTAAAGAATGCATTAATTTTATTCTGTATTTATTTATTGAACTGTCATTTTGGCTTGGCAAAATGGGATTATGTCTGTAAAACCAGGACTATTTTCAAGTTACAAGTCGCATTCTCACGAGCAATGGATTAGACAATGATACATATTTTAGTAGCTAGACCATGATTACTGCTTTTCTTTTTAACATAAAATATGGTGGGTAGTTTTTCTTTCAACATCTTCATTTCTAAATCCATTCGCATTCCTAACTCTATTCCCCTTCAATACATTATTTTTATTCTACTTTGCTGGAAGACCTGAAAACATCAAGTCATTCATGACTTGTATTCATATAGACAATCAATTTTAAATAATAGCAAAAATCACTACCAGACTGACGTGTACTAATTGGCAATTAGTAATTTACCTTCATCCGTATGTCTTGACCATGCCGGCCATGCCATTGAAATTAAAAAAAATGTGACTCAAATATGTTCTTATCACTGACCATTTCTCTGCTCATCCATGGCTACTTCACCTTCAAATATGGCCTGCACCTCCTCACCACAACCTTATTCTCTCTCCTTTCTTTCTCTCTCTCTCTCATATCATAATGAAAAGAGGGTTTGAAGTAGTTCAAGGAACCCTCGACTTAATAACCCAACCACATGATCAACGATGGCGCCAATACACCACTCTTGGACTGCCTACCGTTGCTGATTCTCTCTCTTACCATCAAAAGCCAATCACAGAAAACCGGTGCATGACCATGGAGAGGAATGAACTCTCCGAGTGGGTTGAACATGTCACAAAGCAGCTCATCGAAGACTTGCCAGAAACTGGCACAGAAAGCTTGCAAGCCGAGGCAGCAATGGTGTATGCGGACAATATTGTGGTCCCATCACTGTTGGATGAGTTGAGACCGCGGAAAATTACAAGGAGAAGCTATTTCGAAGGCAATAATAATGGAGGACAAGTCCAATGGTGCAATGAGCTTGGAGCTCAGCATACTAGTAACTTTAGTAATGATCAGAACGGAGTGATTGCTAAAGGATTGAGTAGGTTAGATGAGCATGGTTTGAGCTTAATCACACTTCTCCTAGAGTGTGCAGTGTCTATATCAGTTGATAATCTAGGTGAAGCTCATAGAATGTTGCTTGAGCTTACCCAAATGGCCTCCCCTTATGGGGCTTCTTGTGCTGAAAGAGTTGTGGCCTATTTTGCAAAGGCCATGTCTAGTAGGGTCACTAACTCTTTGCTTGGGATTTGCTCTCCTTTGATCAACCACCAGAGTATTCATGCTGCCTTCCAAGTCTTCAACAACATCTCCCCTTTCATCAAATTCGCGCATTTCACCTCTAACCAAGCCATCCTCGAATCATTCCACAAGCGCAATAGGGTTCATATCATTGACCTTGATATCATGCAGGGCTTGCAATGGCCGGCACTGTTTCACATCCTCGCCACACGTATTGAGGGTCCCCCACATGTTAGGATGACCGGAATGGGCACTTCAATGGAGCTTTTGGCGGAGACAGGGAAGCAACTCTCGAATTTCGCTAGAAGGCTCGGAATGCCCTTTGAGTTCCACCCTGTTGCCAAGAAATTTGGGGACATAGACATGTCAATGTTGCAAATACGTAGAGGAGAGACCATAGCAGTGCATTGGCTGCAGCACTCGCTATACGACGCCACTGGACCGGATTGGAAGACAATGAAGCTCTTCCAGGACTTGGCTCCAAGAGTGATTACCTTGGTGGAACAAGACATGTCACATGGAGGGTCATTCTTGGACCGGTTTGTGGGGTCTCTCCACTATTACTCCACCATTTTCGACTCTCTTGGATCCTTCTTGCCTAGTGATGACCTGAGCCGCCATAAGGTTGAGCACTCCCTCCTCTACAGGGAGATCAACAATATATTGGCCATAGGAGGACCGGCTCGGAGTGGGGAGGACAAGTTCAGGGATTGGAGAAGTGAACTTGCAAGGAATTGCTTTATTCAGGTACCAATGAGTGGGAACTCAATGGCTCAAGCACAACTTATACTCAACATGTTCCCTCCTGCTCATGGTTATAGCCTTCTACAAGGTGAAGGAACACTTAGGCTAGGGTGGAAGGATACTAGTTTGTACACTGCTTCTGCTTGGACCTCTTCAAACCCTCCTAGATAATTAAGTACTGCTATATATATATATATATATATATATATATATATATATATATATTAATATTTAGTGAAATGGTACTGTGTGTTATTTTTGTTATTCTTAGGGAAAATGGTTAATTATCACTTGTTCAATGACTACAAATCACCCAAGGTCTGTAGATGATAGACAGTTGGGCATGCAGAAAGTCCCACAAGATGGATGTTTTAATATAGTCTTTGTATTCTTGCAAACATTTGTGCATTGATATTGACCAAAGCGCAGTAAGTCCCACAAGAGGGATGTTTAAATATTCTATTTGTATCCTTGCAAACATTTGTGCATTGATATTGACCAAAGCTAATATAGTTTACTTCCAAATATTGAGTGCTGTCTAAGTGGTCAGTCCTTGTAAATTGTATACGGAGCATTTATTATTTATGGGCTTAAGAGGTTCTTGCAAATAGTTTAAATTTACATCTAGAACCCATCAAAGAGATAAAAAAAAGAAAAAAAAAAAAAAGAAAAAAAAATTCAATATTTACCCCGCGTAATAAAAAAATCAACTCCTCATTTCTCTTTATAATAAAAATAACAATTTTTCGTTGACTAAAGGATCGGAATATCCAGTACTTTTTCCTAATATTGCTATGTGTGTTTCTTGTTGTGCTTACATTTCTTTATAAAATTTAAACAACATTATTTGAATGATCCAGGAAATATTGCAAGGCTTACATACCATTTCAAAGTAGTAACAGACAATAAGCAATATGTGGTGTTGTTCCAAGTTCCAAATTATGTCAATATCTGAAATATGATCAGAATTAGCTTCTTGTTTATCTAGTGATAGTGATATATACATGCTCAGAATTAGCAATATGTGGTGTTCTTCCAAGTTCCAAACCTGTAAGATGCTTTGAATCCAAGTTGATTGCTACTACATCTGAACTTTTACACAGTTATGGGTTGTTAATTAATTTGACAATTAAAATTGGTTCCAAGTCTAATGAAATACGATGCAATGTTTTAACTAATAGAAATTATGATTATGTGTTTTCAACACTTCCAAATGTTACCTAATTAATAAAAAATAAAAATAAAAATAAAAAACACTTCAATGGTCCAAAGAAAAAAATATGTAACTGTGAGGGGTATATGTTGTAACATATGTTTGAAGAAGCAAACAAAACATTCAAGAAGCAATTAATGCTTGATGTGGAAGAAATTTGATGCACTTAATTTAAACCAGGTAATATTTGAAAACAAATTATATAAGTACTCCGAGTAAAATACTCATTTGGTTCAATCTTAGCTTTAGAAGGAAAGGGGAAAAAATTAAACAAAAACTAAAGTGATGTATTGGCCATTGATGTGGAAGATGAACTATATACACATTGTTTACAATAAGAACGTAGAAATGGGCATCAACATTCAACAGTTGGGGAACACATCTAATGTTAATGGTTCAATACCAAACAGACTAACAGCCTCAATACTCACACGAAGGTTGCAAACATACCACCAGATCTTTCTCACGGAGGCGGCACGGATCTCACCAAGGAGGCGCGGATACTTTTATTTGGTGTATTGTTCCAACACATTTTAGACATGTGAACACAGAACACGTGATTAAAATTATTTAAATATATTATTTTCTAATTAGACATGATTGGAATTCCGCATTAGCACATACAATAAGTTTTGCACATTCTCACTTGGTTTTATAATAATATATATATATATTTTTATAATAAAATGTGATTCAATATAATGGTAAAATAGACTTATCAAAAATTAAAAAAAAAAAAAAATGTAAAATAGATTATGGATTAATTTTTTTTTAAAAAAAACAACTAATATTTTACTCTAATTTCTAAATTAGTGATTTCATTCATAGTTATATATATGGGTAATGAGCAAATGAGCAAAAGTTATTATTTAACCAACGGATAAGTGGGCTAGAGGTATCAGACCCCTACCCTCCAAAGAGATATCAGGGTTCCAGCTTCCATGGAGACATGAGTAGTGTGTGAGTTGAGTTACCAACTAGGAAAAAAAAAGAAATTATTATTTATATATATAATATATTTTATTTTTATTTTTTGAGTACCATATCATATCGGTATTGTGTGTCTGTATTTGTACTTCTTAGCTTTTCACTTACCCTTTTATACGACATGCTAAATAACTATGTTTATTATGTTAATTTTGGTTATAAGATGTTTGTTTAAACTGTGCTCAAAATTTATTTAAAAAAAGTAGCAAACTAATTAAAATTTGAAATTTTTTCATAAATTTATTATTTAAACATCAACAATCAAATCTTCCTCCCAACTACTTGAAATTAAATACATGAATCCATGGTTTCATTTCCGTCTAGAAAAATGTATAAGATTTATTATCAATTCTTTTTGGGTTAAAACTTATGAAAGCAAGTTAGGGTGGGAGTGTAGTTGGATCCAGCTCCAAAAGGTGAAACCAATTCACTCGAAGATTCTCAAATAATGCCCAAGTATGAATGCAAGGTTTTTGCCACTTTGAGAAATGAAATTCCAATATTTACCTTTAAAAAAACCAATTAACAAGAAGATTCTCTATTTATGAAGAGAGAGAGACTGGAGAGAGAATAGTTGGAATGAGTCTAAAAATGTGGACCAACCGATCCAATAATAATAAAGTAAGCAAAGAAAGACAAAAGTTGAATGATTATTTGTGTGTGTATAACAATGGAATGAGTATATGCGTGCGTGTGTGTAATGTGTGTTATATGGAGTTATATATATATTTATATAGAGAAATATATAGAAAAAGAGGGATTGAGGCATGCACGTTTGTCGAGTAGAGCTCCTCAGCCTCTTCTAACAGCGCAAACGAGTTAGGCGGCAAACTGGAGAGAAGGTATCGCTTAACCCCTCATCCTTTATAAAAGAAAAGAAAAGAAAAGAAAACAAATTAAGAAAGAAATTAACTAATCAATCAGCATTATTGTTAAAAAAAAAAAAAAAAAAAAAAAAAAACAGATACAGAGAATATACGAAAACAATCGCCACCTCATTTTCTTCGTTCTTTTTCTTTGTTCGACCAATCTTTTTCACCCCATTACATTACTTTCCACAACACAAATTCAATTGTTTTTTGTCTTTCTTGCTCTCACTTCTCAATCTTTGCTACTTTTTCTTTTAAATATTAATAATAATCGTTCTTTGATTCTTTTATTTCAAGAACGGTATATGTATATAGGTGTGTCTTCCTATTTTTGGCAGCGATTGGTGATATTATCAGGTTCGATGACCCTTCTTGAATTAGGGTTTCGATTTATAGCCTTTAGTTGAAGATTAGGGTCTGTAATTTCAAAGACGCATTCTTCTGTATATATGAAAGGTCGTTCTTAATTGTGAATAAAAGATTTAGGTTTAGGGCTCTTTTGGGAATTTAGGCTGATTCATTCGCAATTTTGCGTTATAATTCGAGTATTTGACCTTCTTTTTTATTTTTTTGGGAATATATTAAAGAGAGGAAATCTTTGAATAGGTTGGATTGTTAATATGATATATTTGATGGATTTTGGAGATTAAGTTAATATTTTTCTGGATTTCATTATAACCCTAATAAATGGTGAATTGGGTACAAGTTTGAGTTGAAATAGTTCGTTGCCATCATGGATCATGTTATTGGTGGAAAGTTTAAGCTGGGAAGAAAAATTGGGAGTGGTTCTTTTGGAGAGCTCTATTTAGGTATGTCCATGATTGTTCATAGGATTTCTTGGTTTTATAGTGATACTTTTACTATCATTTTTTTTTTTTTTGCCGAAGAAGTTTTTGTAATGTGATTGTTTATTGATTCAGGTGTCAATGTACAGAGTGGAGAGGAAGTGGCTATCAAGTTGGTATATTGATCTCTTGTACTATTTAGTACTGTAATTCACTTAAGATATTTAATTTATTTTTTCTTCTATCAAATGTTTTCTTTTTAAATTTTTAGAAATAAAATTTCTCGAGTGTTGTTGATGACTTCTGTGGCAGGAAAGATTGATAATTTTTGAATTTATTGCTGAATATTGTTCTTGATTTTGTTCAAGAAACTGACATGCTCCGAGAAACTTACTTTTGTGTTGGCTTCCTTTTGTTATGATTGCGCGTGTTTATATTTTTACTTTGACTCGAAGATCTCTTTAAGAAAATGAATTTATTTACATCATGTGATTCAAATTGATTTACGTCATGGCATTTTGCTTTTTTGTTTCTGTGAGCAAATTGATGCTATATTTTGGAATTAGTGCATGTGAGTTCGCAAATTTTGCCTTCATGAAGTAGAATTGACTTAAATCTTTCTTTTCATTATGCTACTTGTGTTGTTCCTTAATCATGATCCTTTAACACCAGAACAAATAAAATATTCAAACAGTAGAGTATTATTGTGTCTTTAAATTTGGATAAAGAAGTAGCAATGGCACTTTAGATTTTGAATGAGCTCGATATGAGATACATGTGAAGTTTTATGCAATTTGCGTCATCTTTTGAAAACATTACACCAACCTTTTACTAGATACTTCTCATCACAAAAATGATGGATGCAAAACTAGGCTATGTTTATACTAGAAGAATGTGTGAGTTGCTTTTGCAGTGGTTCATATTATAGTTTTGGACCTAATTTTTTTGCCTCACCCAGGAATCTGTTAAAACGAAGCACCCTCAACTTCACTATGAGTCAAAAATTTACATGCTTCTCCAAGGGGGAAGTAAGTCTCTCTCTCTCTCTCTCTCTCTCACTCTCTCTCTCTCACTCTTTCACACACACACACACACACACGTCACACACGCACACACACATGGCGCTCGCGTGTGCATTTTTATAATTCTCGAGCATTTAAGATAAAGAGTAAGTTGTTATATGAAGGCCATTCTAAATTGACACTAGTTTATTTATTTTTTAAAATCATCATCAATAAGGTTGCTAGGAACTCCAAAACAAAACCAATGATAGGTAAATAGGAAAGCAATGTCTGGTTTTGGGATGTAGTAGTTTTGGTTAGTAGTTATGAATCATTCACTGCTAGACTCGATTCTATAGCTATGTAGCCACTGGAACAAAAATTGGTCGTAGAATACCTGTTCATTTTACTAGAACGTGATGCTTTATTGGATTGATTTTCTTAATCAATCAATTTTCAACTCTAATTCTATAAATGCTCATAACACCTGCTTGTAAATCTAAGATCTACTCCAAACTTACTGTATTTAATTTTCTGTTGGAGGGAATACTTCTTTTTGTTTTCCTTGTTTTTCCAATTTCTTCCAATAACATTTTACAAAAAAAGAAATAAAAAAATAAAAAAAGGAAAACTATTGAACCGTTTTAAAAGTATAGCCAATTGTATTTTATTGACCAATATGCTGTGCCTGCTCTGCACTAAACTCCATGCTAAGTTCAAACTGATGCTTTGCTCGTTCCTAGAAACTCAGTAATGTGGCCAGCAAGGTCAACGCTTGATGGGGAATGAGAAAGATACATAAGAGCTGTATTAGGAGAGGCCATAGTGGTTTGACATGCATTGCTAGATAGCTGAACTTGTGTGTGATCTTCATTCCATGCTAAAAGAAGTTGGAAGGAAGGCTTAGGCGACAGGTTTAAAGACTATTAAGATCCACAGGTGAAGTCCTTGTTAATTCTGAGTGGTTGAGTGAATTTTTGGATGAGTCTAAAGAGGATTTAGGAACTAGGAACACAAACAAGGGGAAGAAAACGCCTTTAGTTGTATCATAAATATATTTGACAAAATTTACCAAAAAAAAGAAAGAAAAGAAAGACATAATCTATTTCTTTTTCATGATGAATTTCCTGATAATTATTTACTTATTCTTCTTCTTCTTCTTCCTTTTTGGTTGTGTGTGTGTGGTGATGCAGCTGGAATTCCCAATCTCAAATGGTTTGGAGTTGAGGGTGAGTACAATGTTATGGTTATCGATCTTCTTGGACCTAGCTTGGAAGACCTATTCAACTACTGCAATCGGAAGTTCACATTGAAAACAGTGTTAATGCTTGCAGATCAGTTAGTAAGTATATGGGACTAGCCAATCAGCGAATGTACCTTGAACTCCTTAGTGATTGTCCTTCTATTGTTATCTTTGTAGATTAACAGGGTGGAATACATGCACTCAAGAGGTTTTCTTCACCGTGATATAAAGCCTGACAACTTTTTAATGGGCCTAGGGCGCAAAGCAAATCAGGTTATTATTCCATTTATGTTTTGTTCGAAATGTTGCCATTTGTAATACAAGTACATGCACGATAGTTATCAACTTTTACTCTTTTGAAACATTTTTGACTCTCAATATTGAATTGGTATAACTGAATTATTATATTCAAGTTGTGTGGCAGTTTGTAATGCATCTACTTCCTAATTGGTTATTAAGGATTGCCTTTTTTTTTGGGGACTATAAACTTTGTGTTATGTATTTGTATGCTTAGATGCTAGATATAATGTTTTACTATATTATCTTGGGATGGCTTATCGACATTGTTACACATTCAAATGCATGTTTTTAATATATATATATATATATATATATATATATATATTGCAAGGAAGAAACATACTTTAAGAAAAGAAATAGAAGCAACCACCCCACCCCCCGCTCACCCCCCCTCTCTCCTCTCTCCTCTCCTTATGGGAACAGAAGCAGTGGTTAAACTCTTCTAATAACTTGGCTGCTGTAAACTAAGAATTTTGCCTCCTGGTTAGCAGATCTTTGAATTTGATAAATAGAAGGGACCACATCTTGAGACACATCAATGATCATTGTGCATAAAATGAGCAAGCTCCCAAAAAGTTTTTTTTTTTTTTCCTCCCATCTTATAACATTTTTGGTATCTGCCTTAGATGGATGTTGGATCAATCTTGGCTATTTGCTTCTCTCGGCCCAAGATACTAACGGTTCTTACTTGACCAGATTGCCTAGGGAGTTCCCACCAAATTCAAACAGCAATGCCTTTTATTAAGGTCATGAAGTCTATCCATATGTATGCTTTTCTACTATTTCGAATTGTACAGTCTGTGTGCACTCCTGAAAGCCTTATTATTTGCTTTTGTGACGCCTGCTGTGCCCTTGATGTTTGTTCCACAGTACCTTGTTTATCTTTTTCTACTAATGAGTATCGATTTGATTGTTTTGAGCATATGTCGATATCAAGCATCAGGACAATAGAAACATGCATGGTTTCTAGAAACCACAAAAGATATAACGAATCAATTTATTTTAATTGATAAGAAACATATGCATAAGAACTCTTTACAGGCATGCGTAAATGGATGTGTATGTGTGTGCGTGTATACTGAGAGAGAATATTTGCATGATTTTGTGGATAAGAAAACATCAATGTGTTGCAGTTAGATCTTCAGACACATTCCTTTTTTTAGTAAGTAGACACATTCCAATTTTTGGGTATCAGCTTTTAACAGTTTAAAGTCTTTATTACAGGCGTACGCCATTGACTTTGGCCTTGCAAAAAAGTACAGGGACCTTCAGACTCATAAGCACATACCATACAGGTAACTCCGCTATATTTACCTCACAAGCCACAGTTGCAGTTTAATCCATTCTTTAGTATAGTGTGACGTTCTTCTATCCCTCACTGGAGTTTTCACTTGTTGAAATGGTCTACTTTCTGGAACTTTCTTGTTCAAAGGCCAACTTGTATATGTACTTCAACTCATGTCTTATGCATGATTGCAGAAATAGGATTTTTTTTATTTTTATTTTTTTAAATTCAAAATAGGTGGTGCCTAAAGGGGTCTTTCATTTGGTTAGAAACTGACATTGGTTTCAGTACACTTCTTCAAACCAAAATTTACCTGGGCCCATGAAAAAGGAACAGGCGAATTCTTGGATAGTCTAGCCTATCAGGAAGGGCCTTGATGCCAAAGTTATCAAATAAATTTAGGAAAGGGAAGAAAAACAGAAAATGGGTGGATTAAATTTTTCAGATGTGATATGTTCTACAATCTCCTGTTTATCAATCAATCTTTCTCAAGGCTTGTTATCTGGCCATGGGAAAGATAAAAATTGAAAAATTCTTACTTTTGATTAGAAGGTAGATACTGATTTTTTAATTCATTAAGAATCTTTACAAAAATAATGTATATGAAAAGGTATTTTTAACATGTTATGGAGCACGTTGATTGCTCCTCAACTGTTGAAGGTCAAATGTTTCAACTGTCTTGTCACTCCATTCCTGCTTTGGTTTGATAATACTGCATAAAGCCATATATAGGCTTTAAATAGTTCAGTCATTGTTACATGTTTTGGGAGGATGGGAGGAAATTTTTGTTAGCAAGGAAGGGCAAAAGGTTTACTATTATTGTTTAAAATGCAAAACTAAAGGGCATGGCACATGAAAAGTCCCATAGCCAACCATTTTTTATATAATGATGGAAAGGTTCTGGTACAAAGTATTAGACTTGCAAGCATTTCAGCAATTGACCATATAGCCTACATAGAAAACATCTTAAAAATGACAATATGAAAGGCTAGTGTGTTACATCACTGTGAACTGGATAGTCAAATGAAGCTTTATACTTGAGAAAGGGTTTCTGAGTTGATTGTCAACAAGATCAAGTTTCTAATTGTTCTCGGGTGATTTCATAGCGGGAGAAAAGAGAGGACATAGAGGTGATCTCAATGCCTATCAAACATAAGAGATGATATTATATATATATATATATATATAAAGCCTATTTATTGTCTGAACTAATCCATTTATATACACACACACACACAAAGCTATTTTTGAACTTGATTCATTTCTAAGGTTGTCCTGTATTAAAGCAATAAAACCTATTTATAGTCTTGAGAAAACCCCAGAAATTCATTTATACCTTCTAAACTAATCATACCTACATGTAACTTAATATAACTCAAATTTTATTTCAAAATCATAAAAATTCTGTAAGATGAAACTACAGCAATTTCATTCTTAAAAGAACTCCTAATTAAGGACTAATAATTTTAGATATATCTTGTGATTCCACATCAACCCCACTGCCGGCCCCCTACTTCTTCCGTTGAGCCATGCACGAATGAAGCTACGCGCGCCAATGAACAATTAAGCACACGCCCAAGGCGCCATGCCCAGGGCATTCCCTTGCAATGTGGAGTTTTTAGTGATTTTCAGTGTATTCAAGGGGCACAAAGGCATAATTCAGGCAATCACCCAGTACTGCCTTCCAAAAGATTACTGCTTCCTTTGCCTTACTGCCTAGGAGGGCAGGGGATATTTGGAGGCTGCCTAGGGTCATCTAGACGTCACCTAGATGTTTAGGTGTTATACATATGATGGCCATCTGGAAATTGACATTCTAGATATCAATTGCCTCCTCCACTCAACTCAACAAAGTCTTTTTCCTAACTACAAATAACACCAATGCGTATGTTGTTGGTTGAACCTGGTCTATTGCTTGGGAGGCAATTATCCTAATAGTTGGATTACAACAGTTAGCATAAAAATAGTTTTTATTGAAATAATTGCATAATTGTTAAAATATACTTTTTATGGTCATTCTAAAGATTTTATTTTCCAAATAAATTTTGAAGTTTTTAATTCGCTGTATTTGTCATCAGTGTGCATCTTTTCTTCTTCTTTTTATATATATATATATATATTTATTTATTTATTTTATAAAATTAAGTACTGTTAATACGTCTTTTGAAAAAGTCATTTTTAATTTGAGATCATAAGAGATCATCCTTGAGGGTACAATGCTAGCAATCTTCAGTTTAAGATTCTAGTGTGGTTTGTTTGATTATATTAAAATTTTGATAATTCAAAAAAAAAAAAAAAAATTGTTCTATTATCAAGATATCCAATTGCGCATAGGTAAGAACCACTGAGCCTTTAGGTTAAGTGGTATCTCCTGCTTTTACTTATTAAAAAAAAAAAAAGAAAAAAAGGAAAAAAAGAGTTATCTCCTCCTTTCACTAGGGAGGTTGAGGGTTCAAGTTCCCTTTGAGGCAAATGAGGAAGCCTGGGGTACAAAGTATTCAACATTGAAGGTTTTTTGGAGTAATATTTCAAACAAAGTTTTTTTTAGAAAGCAAGAAAAGCTGACACAATTTGCTCTTCTTCGTTAGTACTGATATATTTTAACACTAAAGGGAAAAGAATGGTTTATGTCATGCTTCATTGCCGCTTTGTTGATGAGACGTTCTTGAGTTGATTGATAGACTCTGGTTTTGGACCAAGTTTTGGATTGTACGATTAGCTTTCTGTTTTATTCTTCTTTCCACCCTTACAGCATTAATTATATGGCACTACCTTGTCAGGCCTCATGACCCTTCTCAATTCATTTTTCATTTGCTTAATTCCCTCGTACTCCTGAAAATCGTCTTACCTTACCTCTGAACTGTTGTCCAATATTTGTCTATCATTTCTTTAAATCTTTTTTTGGCATTGGAGGGAGGGTGGGGAGATACTACTGTAATCCTGAATTCAATCTCTACCTGATTCAACTCAACAGAGGTTTACTGTAGTCTGTAGCCCGTTGGGAGCTGGAATTTCCAGCTAGGCTCCTTTTATATATCATTGGCCAATAACTCCCCTCTTATCTTTGAACAACTTTGTTTTGCCATCCTTTTGTTATGTGACTTTGATTTCTGCCTTTACTGTTTCGCCAGGACTGATCCAGTTACTTTTTTTCTCTGAAAATGCAAGTTCCGAAGTTATGTGACTTTGTTGATGTTATTTTTTATTTTTTTTACTTCTCTCTGAAAATGGAAGTTCTGAAGTTAAATTAAAACGGAGCCGAAATGAGGTTTCTTTGTAGGTTTTGAAGGGGCCATAAATTAAATCTTTTTCAAATTCGGAACCTACTATATATAGGGTCCATATTTAATAGAATTTTTTGTCAAAATTTTGCGGGAGCCCTGATCCCCCTAGTCCCCATGTTGGTCCACCCATGTTTTTTGCTCTTTTCCCTTTATAGTTTTAGCTTTGATATATTTTGCCTTTTGAACTTAACAATATTCTCTTTGCAGAGAAAACAAAAATCTTACAGGCACAGCTCGCTATGCTAGTGTTAACACACACCTTGGAGTTGGTGAGTGCGTACCTTCTTGTTATACGTTGCCGGCTTATTATGGAAAATGGGCCGTCACAGGTTCAGGTCCATGGCAAGTTATGATTTGTTTAATTTTGCTTGCAGAACAAAGCAGAAGGGATGATCTAGAATCTCTTGGTTACGTGCTTATGTATTTCCTAAGAGGAAGGTTGAATATATAAACGTGTCATTCTTCTTCAGTTGTTTTGGGCATTTTCTACCTGATATTAATTCTTTAGTGCAGCATTATTCTTATTGTTTAGTGTGTCCTAATTTGTTGCATACAAATCTTTTGCACCAGTCTTCCTTGGCAGGGGCTGAAAGCTGCCAACAAAAAGCAGAAATATGACAAGATCAGTGAAAAGAAGATGTTAACTCCAATTGAGGTATTCATCTAGCCACCTATATTGCTGCATATTTATGACAAGGTATAATATCATATATGAATTTGGGTTGAAATGGTTTGATTCTAGGGTTGATGCCATTACCTCGGGGTGGCAGTTCCATGGTCTAATATATAGGCAGGCTTGGGCATGCCATGTAGTCCCATACACCCATGTCTAGGTTGGGCTTTAGGGTATGTTATACATTTGAGCTAGTCTTGGACAATTTGAAGTTCCAAGTTTGTTGCAGCTAAGCCTAATTATTGTTGACTAATGATAAGATCTTGGATTATTTTCCCAAAATATGTTATATAAATATATACACATAATAAATATGCTTAAACTACATTACTTTTAATTATTTTTTTATGTAAATGTGTTGCCTTATGTGGCCGATCTGTGTTCAACTATTTATTCTCGAGGCATGGTCCTGGAGTGCTACATCTTGACCTGAGTTTGGGTTTATTCCTGCTCGGGCCTGGACGAAACCCAGTTTCAATGGTTGCTTTACTCTACTTTTTATGTTGCTGTATATGTAATATAACAAAATGTGGGATTTACATGAGAGGCATTTGTGTTAAACAGGCGCTTTGCAAATCGTATCCATCAGAGTTCATATCTTACTTCCACTACTGTCGATCGTTACGATTTGAAGACAAACCAGATTATTCGTATTTGAAGAGGCTTTTTCGTGACTTATTTATTCGCGAAGGTGAATGAAAAACACAAATATTTTACAATTTCCATATTAACCATATGTTCAATTTTGTCATTCTTAAACTTCTAGTCATTTCTTTCTCCTCTCTTTTTGTTTGAGTAATTCAGTAATTACACTTTCCATTAGCTTGTAAAACTCAAAATGGATAGAATTGTAGTGTTTATATCTTGGCATTGTTACTTCTGCAGGTTATCAGTTTGACTATGTATTTGATTGGACTATATTGAAGTATCCTCAGATTGGTGCCAATTCTAGAGGACGGGTCAGTGCTTTATAAACCCTCTGTTGTTGGTTTCTGTTCTGCCATGGTACTTATTTTAGTTCCCCCTGTTTTTAGAATCCCAATGGGAACACAGGTTTAAATGCGGGACCATCTGCCGAAAGACCAGAAAGGACCTCAGGTATTCACTCTTTGGAACTAGAATTGGAAATGAGGTGCCATTTCTGAGTATTGACTACTGATTTGGAATTTCTTTAGAACACGGTAATTGTTTTTTTCTTTTAATTGACTGATATATTGATGCATGGTGAGATTAAAATTTTCTGAATTTCGATCTATGGTTTATGGGTTGACAGAAGGCGACCTTTCCCCAAATTTAAAATGTTGGGTCTTTGAAACACTTTGTATATCATTTTGATATTTACCAAGAAGGTCTTCGGTTCGAGTCTGTATAGTCCTATAAATTGAAAATAAAAAGATGCAAAATGGATTAAAAATGAAAATTCTAATATAAAACTAAAATGAAATAATTGTATAATTTTTATATTATTAGAAATGTTGTATGCTGTTTGTAACTGTCCGGTAACTCCGGTTGGTTCGCCAAGATTGATAACTTCATTTGGAATAACAGCTTTCTGGTTAAAAACTTTAAAATGCATATCTAATGTGAATTCACCAATGAATGATTCCTATGTTTTAATTGTTTTATCCAGTGGGGCAAGAGTTTCGAGATAAATTCTCAGGTGCTGTTGAAGCCTTTTCCAGAAGAAATGCTTCCGGTTTTGGTCGGCATGGTGACCACTCCAGACGCAGGAGTACAGAGGATGTCCCTTCATCCAAGGATGTGGTATTGTTTTTTTAAGATAAATTTATGCATTGATTTTCTAACTTTTTGTTGTTTATCTCATCCTTCTTTATTGAGTACTCGAAGTTTAATCTGAAGTTGATTTGGCTTCTCATATTTTACATTGGTTTTATGATTTTTTATTGTTTCTTTGGCCCATTTCGTTTGCATACTAGAAGTTTGATCTAAAGATGATTTGGCTGCTTATGTTTTTCCTTCAAAAGAATCATATATGTAACGTATTTGTACTTATTGAGTATGGACAGCTAGTTGGTGTCACTGAGTTTATTATGATGTGGATATTTTTTCTACCATCAAATCAATTTTGGGAGTTATTATTTAGAGTAGTATTACAGGTGCAATTCAGGCCATGTTTACCTTTTTCAATTGTATTATATCATTGGCAAAGCTGCCAAGCCTATTAAAATTTAATAAATCTCAAGGCCATAGCGTGGTAAGTCAGGACTAGAATGATTCCCCTGTTTAATCCCAACCCTTCTTTCTTGTGCTTTTAGCAACAAAAAAAAAAAAAAAAAATCACATTTATAGAGTTCATATGTAATTTATTTCTCATGCACCTTTGTTCGAGTTCCAAAATCAGAGGAAAAAAGAAACTCTCATGGTTTGTGGGTGGGTAAAGGTGCAACTTGGAAGTGTCTGCCTTTTACTTCTTCTTGGGATGGGCCGTTGGGGGGAGGTTTGGGATCTTTGTAATTAAATAATAAGACACTTTTTCTTCCAACCTCCTTGAATTCTGTTCTGGAAACATATCCAATAACTCCTTTTCTATTCCTTTATTTGCTGTTGATAATATATATATATATTCGTTTATGTGGTGATGATACTCTATGATCAATTCTTATTATTACAAATTTATACTTAATGCCTAGAGAACCGGAGCATTAGATATGCACTGCTAGGGTACCAAATTGTATTAAAAAAATTATTGGTCCATATTAGCAGGAACCTGATTCAGAAAAGGGCCGTTCTCAAAGTGGCAGCTCCTCGAAGAGGCCCATCAGTTCAAGCAACAAACAAGCCTCTTCTGGTGAACCCAGTGAAGGGCGCTCAAGCCGACTAGTCACAGCCACTGGCCGCTTCTCTACTACACAAAGGATCCAATCCGGGATAGAGCCCAAATCATCACCTTATACTCGTGCTGCAGTCACCAAAGGCACCCGTGATGACCCTCTTCGCAGCTTTGAGCTCCTCACTCTGAGGAAGTAAAAGGGTATGGATTTTTGTTCACTGAAAAAAATGTTATTTGTGCGTCGAGTGGACGAAGACTCGTCCTTTTGTGAACAATTAGTATAAAGTATAAACTCATTCTTGTATATGGAAAACCAGTGTCTTACACCACAGTTTAGGTTATTTTACATTAAGTTTCTTTTTGTTTCGAGTTTCTGGCCATGTTAATATAATCTAGATTCATCCGAGGAAGATGGAATCTGATGTTCTGGAATTTTGTTCTATATGTATAAGATGTGGGTAGCTGGAATGAATGCCGTCTGCTTTTGTATCGTTGTATTCTTCTTAAACGCCCCGTATTATGTATATCATTGTTCTATTATGGTGAAATATTCAATTTTCCATTCTTTGTATTCCTTTTGGTGTCCTTATTTTTTGTTGCAGGTTGTATTTGAAATAAGAAAGCCGAATCCATTGTTGTACAGCGTGAGTGATGACCAACTTCTACCTCATCAAACTGATACTTTTTGACTCGATCTTTTTAAATTTACCCTGAAAAAGGAAAAAAAAAAAAAAAAAAATTGGAAAACCAATAATTTGGTTCTTATGGCAAAATAAACCTGTCCTTTTCAAAATAACAACAGTGCCTAGAGAAAGGATTGTCTTGCCTTTTGTGTCTGAAACTCAACAAATGATGACAAAGCAGACTTGTCTTTTAATGTCGGAAAATTAAAGAGGTTAAAAAAATAAAAATGATGACAAACAGTTAAATTTTGCATTCTTATCTGTTAAGTAATTATAGAGTGGTGACACATTTCCGAGACAATACTTACTATTTAGCATAGTAGTTTCTTAATATTTTACTATTATATTAAATGATAAAAATTTGGTATTTTCTCACATTTCAAAGAAGTGTCAAAATATTTAAATGAAATGCCCGAAAGTACCCTTGTCTAGGCTTATCCGTAATATCTCTCAGAAGATGCCATTGGAACTGGGAAGTATGATTCCAAGGCGTGCAAGTTGGATCACAAAAACAATTTGGTGTATTTCCTTTTGAGGTAACGGTTCTATGTTAAAATACATTTCTACTTACATTTTATTGCTTCATAAATTTTTACAACAATTCAACTCTCTCTATCTATTAATAGATGACCTTAACTTCCTATCAACAACAGGTGCTCGAATTGCCTGCCTAATGAATCAAACAACAAACAATGACCATGAACAGTAGCTGCTTCATACTCAATTGGACAATAATACTGCATTGGCTGACTCCTCCTCCACTCTATGTTGGCCCCAATACCATACAACCACCCTTCATAATCTTCCTCTCTCAGCCCATATCCATCCTTCATGCTACAAAATGCAATGGCTGTTAACATACTATCTGAACCCGCCTGATGTGCCTCGCCTGTTCTTCTTGCTTTTAAAAACTTTCCCAAACCCTCCAATACTACTTCGTAATTGTGCAGTCCGGGACAATCTCTTGCCATAACTTTTACGTCATAAACTTCAAAAAAAATGAGGCTGAGCCGTTGTACAAACTCCATCCGTGTGTGCGGCATCTCATCACCACTCACAAGCTTCATCATCAAAGCTAAGTCATGAAGGCCGTGAAAGGTAACCCATTTAATTTTGTGCAGGGCAATCACTTCTTTGAATTTTTGTACTAACAAATATGCATCAACCCCTTCTTTGTTCATTCCTTTCTCTGTATTTTTACGGAGGTGGACTCCCGGGCTTTTTCTGAGATTAAATTGCCAAGTTCCACAAGAGTCGCTATTGTTGTCGAAAAGAGTAATATCAATCTGTGTAATCTTCATCCGGTCGACATTGAATTTGACATCGCTGTATAGCCGTCGTTCCGAAGCATTTCTTGGAGTACGCAATATAAAACCAGTGAATTCTGTATCGACCGCCACGATCACCTCGATCTTTGCCATCTCTACTTCAAAGTTATGGTACCAAACATCTGCAATACTCAATTCCATGCCGAAAGAATTTTTTTCGTTCACCAAACTGCAAACAGTACATTAGAATGCTTTCTTTCTGCGCCTCCAAGCAATTCTGGTGAAACCTCGAACACTTTCTTGGAAGCCTCTCTCTCTCTCTCTCGTTTGCTGTCTTTCTCTCTCTCGTTTGCTTCCTTTCTACGTTTTCTCTGCGCTGCCAAATACTGAAAAAGTAAAAATAATAAAATATTTTATCAAAAAAAGAAAATATTTTACGTCGAAACAAACTGAGCTTAAATATCCTTGGTCAATTTTTATTTTATATTTAGTATAAAATAAGAAACTGAGCTTATATGCGTTCCTCACTCTCTCACGCAGCCAAGCTCTCTGGGATTTTTCTAAACCCTTTTATGATTTTATCTTGTTCTTCCAATTAATCACTGGCCTTCCAATAGTAACAACAGAGCATCAAATTACGATGTGTATTTGTAATTTTGTATAAGATTTTTGTGTATCACCTGTTTATTTCATATGAAACACTGGAAAATCTGGAAAGGAATTATTGATTTCGGAAGTTACTGGGAATGAATTATTAGTTTTTCATAACCATGATTTAGGTTATTCTTTGTTCTTGCCTGAACTGCACACTTCTTTAGCTGGGATTGTTCTAATTTAGTTTTTTGGGTCAAAGTTCTTCTGTTAGAATGGTGTCTTAGTTATTAACTTTGCAATCTAGAAATTCCAATTATAGGTTTGATTATTTTAGAAAACTGGAGTTCATCATCAATATCATCTCTTTATAACTATCAATCTTTTGTTTTAACTTTAAATAGCACATTTGAAAATATTTGGGTTGTATCTTTGTCATTAAGAATGTGATCCAAAATATAGCGTTGTTTAATCATAAGCTCAGAGACTCCATCTAATTATTATTTTTTTCTTCCTTATTATAGCTTGCTATATTTGATTTATTTTTTTCTAATAATAAAGAATAAGCACATTGCATGGATGTACACGTATTTATTAGTTGTGATAGATTTACTCTTATTAACTAGTTGTCTTATGTACATTGCATAGACGCACAAATATTTATTGGTGGTGATTTATTCATATATTTATAGTTATTAGTCTCTTATGCACAATGCACTGACGCACAATTATAGTGTTGTGTGTTAAGTTCTGATTGAATGTATTACTTGTAAAAATTGAAAACATTGTGAATATATTTTATGTACTTATCGTCCTGTTTTATTGAAAATTTCACTGTTGTAAATTTCTTGCGCATGTAAAACCCATGTATAAAGGGCGCATTTGAAAGTTCTCCTAAATTTTGAGAATCTTAGAGCCGTGCCTCACAGGATATATAATCCAACGTATATCTTTATAAGATGAGTATAATAGTAAATTTTTATTTTTTTGCACGTACAATTGCAAATGCAGAAGTCATACCTAGAAAGTAATTCTCTTATGTATGTATATATTTGCAGTACAAAAATAAAAACAAAATAAAAAAGAAAAATTCAAAATTAAAATCACCCTCGTGCATGTAAATTAACTTTGAGTGATAGTTTTATTTTACTTTATTTTTCATTTTCAAGCATTTAAAACATAAAAGAATGTTTAAAAATGGGGGCATTATATAATTTTTCATTTTTGTCTCTTTATTTTTAAAAGAGTTGAAAAAATGGTGGGGGCATTATCCTCGTATCTTTTATTTAGAAAAAATATAGAAGGCTGAAAAGATAAAGTTCTAGTGGGGGTATACTTGTCTCTTTATGTTAGAAAATTTTACAAGATAAAAAAATAATAGAAATATTAAATAATTTTGGTGCACTCCTTTAATTTGGAAAAATTACAAAAAATACGGAATATCTAAATAAGTGACGCAATATTAGTATTTTTAGTTTTCTTTGACAGTTTATGTCTAAATATTTTGACCTCCCATTTGTTTTGGTTTTTACCTGTGTCAAAATTGTGGTCAACCTCCTTTAATCTTTGATCAAAATTACTATAGTAATTTTTTTGTGGTATTTTTTTTTTTTTTCCTGGAAGGTTAAGCATTTATACAATTGCTTATCCGGGGGAAAAAAAAAAAAAAAAAATCACAAAAAAATTACTATACCCCTTGACTGTCAAGTGTTCGTTAGTACCCTAAAAAATTTGTGTGGAATGCCTATAATGCCCTTAGTTGCAACTAAAAAGATAAAATTAAACTTATTCTTCTTTGTATTGATTTATGTATCCATAAGTGATATGAAAAGAAAAGTCTCTATTTTCGCTGGGGGGGGGGGGGAGGATAATTTTAGTAAATATATAACAAAAAAGCGTAACATGTTTGATATCTATATTATATATTGAATTTATTAGTTCTAAAATTATATATTTATATAAACACGAACGCATAAATATTAGATATGGTCTTTAAGCTAGCTTTAAAAATAATTACCAGTCCCAAAATTACTTGTCCTTTTTATATGCTTATTTTACTGATTGACTATGTCGTTTTCTTTTTCTTCCATGAACATGCAAGGCATCCATAACTGATAACTCTTCATTACTTTCAGTTATTTTTTACGTGAGGAAGAAAAGGGAATATAAGAAAGAAGAAAATAAAAATGGAAATAACATTAAGAAGAAAAAAACAATTAGTTAATTTCTTCCCTAATATATGAACTTTTCTTCTAATTAATCATCTCTTCATTTCACCTAATGTTTATGAACTTGTAAAAGCTTCAAATTTTTGTTGCATTAATTTCTTGACATATATGAAAAGACTTTTTTTTTTTTTTTGAAATCAGCCTTCTCTTGGACATATATGAAAAGACTTGCGTGCATGCATTAAAACTGTTTTGATCCATCTTGATTTTCTATCTCATGAATATCATATGATTTAATAAAAATGGCTTGGATAGACTAATTCACGGACATTCGACTTCAGCTTTGAAATGATAAATTTGGAGATCGAGGAGAGAGAGTAGAGAGGAGGAGGTTAAATTTGGTATTTTACACCATCATCGACATAAGCAAATATTATTTTTTTGGCCAAAATTTAATGAGGGAAATTTTGTTATTTACATAGACCTTTTGTGGCTGGTAAAATACCTTATAGGGGTGTCAGTGCAAAACTTTCATCTATTAGATGAAAAACCCGAACAACATAAAAGTCTGTATAAGTCAAATATTGAGAAATGGTAGCGGTTGGACTAATGGATTAATGTATATATATCTCTCTTTTTGTCCAAAATTTATATGGTAAATTACACTGCCCATTGGACAAATTATACATAATAAATAATTTATCATTTATTATTTTGACCTCTCTGATTCATTTACGGAAAGGTAATTGAGAGTGAAAAGTCAATAATATCCTGATTTTCATATAAAGGGAAGAAAACATTTTTATTTTCGGTAAGTAAAGGGAGGATAACGTTTTCATACAAGGGAATTGCAAGATTTTTATTTTATAAAACTTGGTCAACAGGTTTATAAGAAAGAAAATATTAGGAATACCAAATCTAGTAAGTCAAAATAATAAACGCTGAATGATTTATTCGCGTGTAATTTGTCTAAACTTTATGAAAGGTTAAGGTAATTAATCCAATTTTTTATGAATTCTGTTAAAAAGGTAAGCTTTATGAATAAAATAAATATATACAACAAGTCCAACTACCCATAAGAAAATATTTCCGAGGCAGTGATGAAGGCATTTCAATCATTCTACAAACAATAGAACTATTACGAGGCCTTATCTGACTAAGTATTCAATATACTTTTACAAGACCCTTTGTTTTGAAAATTTTTAAAAGCTTGAAGAAAGCACAAGAATACTCGTCTCTTTATTTTAAATAAGTTAAGAAAATAATGGCAAACGATTTAGTTTTCGGATTCTTGTCTCTTTATCTTTACGTCAAATAATTATAAAAGGTTAGCCGCCATCGATATTTAGCATAATTATCTCTTTGATATTGGAAATTAATAAATTGTCGAAAAGAATGGCAACTTGCATTGCCAATATTGACTATTTAGCGTACTAATTTCTTCATCTTAGAAAATTATAAAAAGTTAAGAAAATGGCACCACCACCATTGGTATTTAGTAATTTTTCTCTTTTTGTCGGAGACTTTAAGAAGTTAAAAATGGCCGCGCGTCATCTATTTTAGCACAGAAGACTCTTGTCGTTGAAAAATTTTAAAAGCTTAAAAAAATGTCAGCGCACAAACATACTTGTCTCTTTATCTTTACATCAAATAATTATAAAAGGTTAAAACCACAGATATTTAACATATCTCTTTTATGTCGGGAATAAATAAACAATCGAAAAAGAATGGCGGCGCGCATTGTAAGTATTTATTATATAGCATAATTGTCTCTTTATCTTTATATCAAATTATCATAAAAGGATAAAATTATGGTGAGCCGTCACCGGTATTTAACATACTTGTCTCTTTCATGTCGGGAATAAATAAACAGTCGAAAAGGAAGCATTGTAAGTATTTATTATATAGCAAACTAGGTGCTTTATGCCTGAAATTTTTAGAAGGCTAAGAAAATGGCGCCGCACCATTGATATTTAATATATTTGTCTCTTTATGTCGAAATCTTTAAGAGGTTAAAATTAATGGCAGGGCATGCAAGACTCTTTTTGTCGGAAAATTTTCAAAGCTTACAAAAATGTTAGCGCACACATTCTTTTTTCTTTATTTTGGAATGCGTCACCGATATTTAGCATAATTGTCTCTTTTATGCCGGGAATTAATAAACGAAGAAATTGGGGCACGCATTGTCATTATTTACTATTTAGTGTACTTGTTTCTTTATGTCAGAAAAATATAAAAGGGTAATAAAATGGCGACCCCGCCATTGATATTTGGTATATTTGTCTCTTTAAGTCTGAAAAATTTGATGCTAAAAGATGACAACATACCATTTATTTTAGCATACAAGACCCTTCATGTAGTGGAATTTTTAAAGCGACAAATGGTTTTTAGCACACTTATAACTATGTCAAAAAAAGAAATAATGAGAAATGGTAGCGCTTG